AGCGCGCGGCGGCCGAGGCGGCGGCGCGGCGGCTTTGAGCGCCTCTTTGCACTTCCGTCTGGGCAGTGTCGCTCCGACAGTGTTTGCGACCGCGGCGATGGCGATGGCCGCGGCGGACGGACGGCCGGACGGCCGGGGATCTCGTTCTGGGGCCGCATTCGAGTCGTCATAGATTCGCCATAAACACATCACTTAGGCGCAGGAGTGCTGGCCATTCGAGACGGAACGGCGCGCACACACATACACACTCACTGACCTCTCTCTCTCTCTCTCTCTCTCTCTCTCTCTCTCTCTCTCCTCTCTCTCTCTCTCTCTCTCTCACACACACACACACACACACACACACACGAGCACGGCAAGCATATGCACTCGGCTCATGATGCGCGGCGCGCCCGCCCGGCCAGGCGGGGAAAAGATGCGGGGAAATGTGAGACAAAAGGAGGGGTGAAAATGATAAGGAAGCGCAGAAGGAGCCCGGCTGGCGTGGCTGGCGTTGTCGGCGTGAAGTAGCACGGCACGGCACCTCCAGGCGCACGCGTGTGTTTGGGGCGACTGCCCTAGAAGCACTACCCCTCGGCCTCGTCGCTGCCTCGCCCGGCCTCGCCCCTTCCGCGCGATCTAGCACGGCATTCAGCTTGTCGTCGCGCAGATACTTTACGGCGGCTGCCTCCAGACGAAAAAAAGAGTGAAATTACCAGACCCCTCCTTTTTGGCGCGGTTCCTCCATCCACCCAGCAGCAGCGCTGGAGAAGTTTTGGCCCAGGCGCCCGAGCAGCACGACGGCGCGGAACGGGGAGTTTGAAATTAAAAGTTTGCCGCGCAAGGTGGGGCTGAAGTAGTATCGAACGCCAAGGGGGTGCCGAAGGGCGGCTGCTGCGCCACTGCCGATAAGGGGCGGGGAGGGGAGGGGGTAGTTCCAAGATGAAGGATGAACGGGGAGGGGTGCCAAAGCCGACACGAGAGCCGTGAAATTAAAAGCGATTTGCATTGATTACGTCGCCACTCGGCGTCCCATTTTCACACGACTTGAGACTACTACTTCCATAACGGACGCATTCCGCCACTCGGCGTCGCAGCCTAAAAACGACGGGCTGCCTTTTGTGCGTCGCCTAGGTGAGGTGTGGATCCGGTGACAGTCCGTTGCTTTTGATTCACAAGCCAGGTTCAAGTAGTAGACCCCCGCCAAGCCTGTCGCCGGCTCATCCAAGCCAACTGTCAGCGTGTCACCGCGTAAATTTCTCAGTCCGCCCGGTCCACCAGGTTGGGTCGGTTCGTTCCGAAGCGGATTGCCCGTCTTAGCCCCCTTTTGTGCCGCGTTTGTTGTTGCAAAATATCCAAGGGTGGACCAACCAAGGAGCGGAGATTCACAAACAGCCGTAAAACCTCTCAAAAATTACAAAAATTAAAGAAAAACACGAGAAAAAAAAACAACTTGAAATTTATTTGTTACAGGAAAATACTGGTGAAGTGGTTATTTACTCGCTCAAGAGATTTTACTCACAAAAAAATTTAAAAAGAGTTACATTGTAGCGGTCTACTACAGTAAAAATTCTTAATAGTTGTCGTGCCTCGAACAAGCCCGAAAAGTCCCCCTTTTGTCGGGGCCCTGCACCACAAGTCCTTCGGCTCGCGGTCCAGGCCGGCCGCTCATATTCCGGAATGCTAATGGGTTCGAATAAAACGCGCCACGTTACGAGGGCTGTCCGCCCGCAGGGCTGCTGCTGGCCGGTGGCGCCACACTGTTCCACACTGTCGCAAAAAAACACAATCAATGCGAAGACGACAACCTGCAGCTTGGGTCTCTCTCGCACCCTCACGCGACGCCCCATGAGTGGGAGAGAGACTCACGGTGGGCCAGAAGACCGGTGGAGGCGGTCAAAATCCCGGACGCGTTTTGAGCTCCAGTGTCGCTAGATGGGACTTGAACCGAACGTGTGACCCCACCAATGGATTGCTCTCCGTACGAGGAATCCATTGGTGGGGTCACACACTCGGTCCGAGTCCCATTCAGCGACTCTGGAGCTCAAAACGCGTCCGGGAATTTGACCGCCTCCACCGGTCTTCTGGCCCACTGTGAGACAGTGGGCACGTCACGCTGCCTCTGCGCCTGCCTCGGAGAGAATGGTGAACATTGGCGCGGAGCGGAACGACCGATCCAGCGACGGGCCCGCGCAGGGCCCAGCCCGGCCCAGGCAGCCCAGGGCCCAAGCGACAGTCGGTAACGGCGGCGTGTTTCGGCAGCTGGCACACAGCACTGGAAAAACAGTTTGGCCGCTCGCGCGGGCATGCGTGTGTTTTGGCGAACGGAGAGCGAGGAATGCCGAACACTCACGCCCCGAAGGGACAACCTGCAGCCAGCCCTAAATAGTCTCATCGCGGCGCCTTCGACGTGACCCTCATGGGCAAGCACGGCAACGAGGGCCGACGCGCAGCGCGACGCGCAGGCACGCGGCCGCCGGAACAAAAGGCTTCACACCTGGGCGTTGGGCTCGCCCCGCCCCGCCCCGCCCCGCCCCACCCCGCCCCACCCCGCCCCGCCTCGTGTCCTGAGTGATGGAATGGACAGGGCCCAGCTGTACCTTTCGCGCGAAATAAGATTTCCATCTCCGCTTTCGAAACGGGGCGCCGTCCTCGCGGGAAACTGCGCCTCGATAGACGCAACATTTAATGGAAAGGCGCGAAGCGCGAAGCAGCGCGCCCATCGCACGCCGAGGACTTACCCTGGCATTTGCTTTTAATCGTGAGCAGCACCTGATCAGGCCGGGGAAAAAAAAGAGGCTGGCGCCGCTGCCGTTAGAAGGCCGAGGGTTATTTGCACTCTGCAGATTGCCGGACGATTGCCGAGATGTTTTTGCCATTCCTGTGGGAGCCGACGGCACTACACTGTTATAGCGCGCACTGCGTTATTGGCCGGACTGAGTGCCGTTACGGGACGCCAATGCCCTCCATCACACTGCGAGAAATTAAAACGGGAAAAGAAACTCGACACACTCACACAAAAAAAAAATGGCTTGCACTGCATGTTAAATATACAACACAGTTCCCGCGTGTGCAAAAAGCATAATCATTCTGATGCATAAACAGACGGAGCAGTACCGAGAAAAATGTGTTGAGCACGGTAGGAAGCATATTGGTGGGGTGGTGTATGCTTGCGTGTGCGGGTATTTGTGTGTGTGTGTGTGTGTGTGTGTGTGTGTGTGTGTGTGTGTGTGTGGGCCCTCAAAGGGGTAATTGAGCCATACACGTCGCGCCTTCGACGATGATTGGCCAAATAGCTCCGTTCACACACACACACACACACACACACACAAGCACACACCTTCGTTTCGTAGGAGTGGCAGTTTCCGCCCGGGACGATGATGTTTATCTGCCATATTCCTGACGCTCATGCCACACTTTGCTGCTCCTCTTCGGTCCATTCTTCGCGGCGTAAAACTATAATCTTGGCCCGTTCGCCCGGCGCGTAAAAAAAACGGAGAAACAGCGGACAAGGCAGCTGCCGCCGCCGCCCCTCTCCGTCGCCCGGCCTCTCGCCCAGCAGGACCGTTCGAATTTGGCGCTCATTTTCGGCGCATTCCTGGGGAGATTGAATGCCGGGGGGATGTTCCGGGCCGGGGGCAGCGCTCGCTGGGAGTTTATCTCGGGGCCGTTGGCAGCGCCGTTGGCACCGCCGCCATCCTGCAGTGCTGCTGTTGCACTTTCGCCCCCCGCTTCCGCCACCCCGCAGCGCTTCCGACCCTCCCCTGCTTATTTCCTCCAGGGCCGGCGGCAGCGTCGTCGTCGGCCTCGTCGTCGGGTCGCCGTCGGCGCATGTCCGCGACGACGGCGACGGCGGTGGTTCAGCACCAGGGCCGTCTTGGTGCTGGCCGCGTGCGGGGCGCACATTGCTTCCGGTTCCTCGCCGCCAACCCCGTCACGGACTCAGGGCAGACGACGGCGACGACCACGGTGGGGGTGGTGGCGTCCCGGCAGCGTCTGTCGGGGGATGGGAAGATAAGGGAAGTTCGTGTCGTTAGAGGCGAGAGTTGCGGCGGAGGCCTGCCAGGGAGGCGAGCGCAAAGGGTGACCGTTTCTGCCAAGGCCGCGCACCCTTTCGGCGAGGTTGACACCTGCCCCGGCCGCCCTGGGTGACCACATTAGCGCCAAGGCCAAGTCCCTTTTGCGCAAGGCGGCATTGTCCGGCCGGCGGCCAAGGTCGAGGCCGTCGACGCGACGCCCACGCACCCTTTGTGGGCGAAGCAGAGCACGGCCTGCGTGGCCTCCACCGGGACGGGCCCAACAACACCCCCCTGTCTCTCTCGCACCCGTGCGACAGAGACAGAGTGACGCTCCGGATGCCCGGCTGTCCAACGGTCGCTTTCGACTCCGTGGAGACTGGCGGGGTTCATCGGCCCGCTCTGTTTGAAAGGAGAAGTGCTCGGATTCGCCACGGCCGCGCGAGCGCGGCGCGGTGCGGCGCGGCGCGCGGACGCGGACACGACGCGCTCCAAATAAGGCAAGTTGGGCTAACTTTGGACAATTTGGCACGGTGCATAATTTAGCGGGAGAATAGAGCGGCAGGCTGCAACAATGTGCTGCCCAGGGCGGTACGGGGCGGCCCAGGGCGGCACGGGGTGGGGCCGTGCGCGCTGCGGGCGTTCCGTGTCGAAAGCAAAGGGAGCTTGAACCAGTTTCGCGCAACGCTGTGTGCTGAGCCCGAATCGCCGCGCACTCCAGATCGGAACCATTTTGCGCAACAGTGACCTCTTTATTTTGTAACAGTGTCTGCAGTCCAGCGATGCCGAAGGACCATTTTGTCGCTCTGTCTCCGTCGCACCCGTGGGCAGTCCAGTGGGGGTGCGAGAGAGACAGAGGGATCCTTTCGCGCGCCGTAATCCCACCCCGTACAGTCACGCGAGAGGCAGAGGGTGTCACCGGATCCGCCTTGATAATCGCATCCATTTTGCCGGGAAACTGGTTCCAGGACGACGTCGGATTGGCTGGCGGGGCCGCCGACTCACCTTGCCGGTTATCCGCTGCACAGAGTCTTCGGGGCTGTAAGTTATCCAAAGCGTTCCTGCAACAAATTATTCAACATGTCAGGCTCCAACAAAGCAAGGGCTTCTTCCTCTCTCACTATGACAAATTCAGGAAACAAGTTTTTTCAATGCACGCTTTTTTTTGGCCGTCTCTTGCGCGAGCGCGTCCTTGGCTCGGGCACAGCGGTCCATCCCTAAACATTGTTGCGAAAGTTGTGGCCATACTTGACAGGTGGTGGGAAAATACTACCCGCCCCACCCCGCGGCGTGGCCTATTAGTTGAAGAGAGAAAGAGAGAGAAGGAGACGTCAGCGACGGGGACAAATTGCCTCTTGTGCCGAATGTCAAAACTTTTCATCAGATTGGCGAGGCAGGCCCTCCTTCCCTGTCTGGCCAGCTTCCCCAAACCCCAGAACGTCTTTGGCGCGTCGTCCGGACACCGTTTCCGGCAGTGTGTGAGAGAGAGGGTGCGCGAGAGAGAGAGGGTGCGTCGTGCGTGCGAAGGTTGAGGAGGCCAGCCGGCCCTACTCTGTAGAAATAGTACAGTGTGCTCTCCGCGGCGCAGGGATGACTTATCTTAATTCGAAAATTTACGACTGTCTTTCAAGGAAATCCCTCCTCCCGACGCGCGAAAAGAGTCGTGAGGTTTTGCATTCGAGACACGTCGCACAGTGAAGGCGTGTTCCACTCGGTGCATTAGACGAACATTGTACGCCAGCCGGCGTGCCAGGCAGGCAGCCAGGCAGCCTCGCGGACACACCCCGTAAGAGGGAATCCCGATCCAGACGTCCATTCTCGCGCGGGTTACTGCAGCCGCCTCCAGACTCCAGGCGACTCCAGGCAACTCCAGGCAACTCCAGGCAACTCCAGGCGTTGCCGGCCATTCACATGCGGTGGGTCCTATGCCCGCGGAGGTGCGAATGACGTTCTAGTCTGGTCACACTGGAAATTAAAAGTGCCTGCGGGTGTTTCTGGCGGTGTGGTACGCCCTTAACCCTTGGTCCGCCATGCGGCATGCCACGCCGCCACGCCACGCCATCTCCCGGCCGGGCCGGTCCTCTCGGCGGGCTGCCTCCGGAACGCCGGCATAATCTCCCTAAGACGGCGACGACGACGGAGACCCCCACAGCGCCTCGCGCCGATTCACGCGCAGCCCGCGCGGCTGAATCTCATTTCCATAATTCGAGCGGCGGGACGGAGGGCGCGATATTGGGAGAGGCGCGTGAGCGAGAGAGATAGCGGCACGGGGGACGGGAGGGAGGGAGGGAGGGGGAGAGGTGGGGATCGAGAAGCTGCAGCTCCGCCCTAGGACGTGTCGGGTCGAAAAGTCACAGCAAAAGTATTCGACGCGCGTTTCAGCGAGGAAAAGGAGTTGCAGAGAATTACACCCCGTCCCCCTCCCCCGCGCCCCCGAAGCCTTCCTGACGCGGGGGGAAAGATCCACCAAGCGACTCCGGAGAGTCTGTCTCTCTCGCACCCGCAGACAAAGCGAGCGACAGCGAGGCTTTCAGAATGAGTCCGCTGGGTCGCTTTGCCTTGGCTTTGCCGCTTATCGGGCCTGGATGCACACTGCAACGCCTGGCGTTTCAATTGCCCGGCCTCCATCTTGCCGCGCGTTGCCGTGACGGCCGCCCACGCCCATCAGACACCATATTCGGGCGCAGTCGGCCAGAGCACTCTTCTACAGCAGTCTAGGGGGCGGCGGGGGCGGCGGGGCCTCTGTTGGCCATCACCGCGACGCCGTTGGGCGCCACTCAGAGCGGTCATATCGGGCCGCCCCCGCCCGAGGCTGCGCGACGACCGGCTGGAGTCACCACTCCACTGTACACACTCTCTGCGCCGGGCCGTTATGCCCCATTCCACCAATGGGGAAGAGAGAGAGACGGCCAGTCAGATGAGGGGACCCGGACACGCACACACTCACAGGGCGCGTTACGCACGAGCTGCGAGACTGAATGCCCACTGATTGTTGACAACTCATTGGCGCTGCTTCCGGCGCGGGCCGTGAGGGTGGTTCCCTTGGCGGGCAAGAGCGCCGTAACTCGCAGTGCGCGGCATGGCAGTTACGGCGGTCTTCGCTCACACCGCGGTGGCCCCCATCATGACGGCGTGGGGGATCGCCACTAATTCCTGCCTCCACTCCGCCCCGCGGACAGCGCGGCGTGAAAAGCGAAGCGCGCTGCAGTCACACCGTGGCCGCACCGCGACGTGGCCACACCCTGCGTGGACTCCCCCGCACAGTGGGCCGGAAGACCGGCGGAGGCGGACAAAACTCTCGACGCGTTTTGAGCTCCAGAGTCGCCATACGGGACTCGAACCGAACGTGTGACCCCACCAATGGATTGCTCTCCGAACGAGGAGTCCATTGGTGGGGTCACACGTTCTGTTCGCGGCCTGCTTAGCGACTCTGGAGCTCAAAACGCGTTTAGAGTTTTGTCCGCCTCCACCGGTCTTCTGGCCCACTGTGCCCCGCCCCCTTCGGGCAGCCTCGGGCACCCTCGGGGACCTTCGGGGACGTGACCGAACTGTCAAGGGGCCGGCAGCCGAGCCGGCAGCGGCGGTATCTGCAGGGCGTTAGCCGACGTTAGCCCGGATAAGCCAGCTTTACTGACCGTAAATCCATCTGGCAGCGAATCTTAGGAACCACCACCGCAGTATCGTGGCGGCGTGACACAACTATTTTTCCTCTGACCTTGCAGGCGGCAGTGGCGTGCCCACAAAGTTTGACCCCTTCTACCTCCCCCCTCTGGGCACGCCACTGGCAAGCTGCAGAAACCACACGGCGAGTCGGTCAATGTTGTTGGCAGTGTCGTGTGATTCAGGCTTCATTAATGGATGACGCGCCGAGTTTGATTGGAGAGAGAGAGAGAGGCGAAGAGTGTACAACCCATCAGCGTGGGGGAGAAGGAGGGTAGGGGGAGACCGGCCGGACGATGAGCCAGCTGGCCCGTGTGTGTGAGCGCGTCTGTCTACGTACCCGCACGCGTGTGTGTGTGTGTGAATGTGAGCGAATATGGGGGTGAACATCTCCGGATATGCCCCTCATAATCATAAGGTTATGCATACGGTATGGGTCCCGGGCGCTCGAGACTCGCGGCGCGCCACCGCGTGTGCGGCGCGCTGGCCACGGCGAGGAGCCGAGCGGGCAAGGCACTGCGAGTGTTTACAGTGGCGCATCAAAAGGGCGCCGCGCAAACACGGCGCGCCGTTAGTGTCGGACGTGGCGACGCAAGAACGGCGCCGACGCTCGAATAGCAGTGCAGCAGCGCGATCGACGGGTTCGGCCGGTCGGCGGCGCACAGTGGGCCAGAAGACCGGTGGAGGCGGTCAAAATCCCGGACGTGTTTTGATAAGCAGGACTCGAACGGAACGTGTGACCCCACCAATGGATTGCTCTCCAAACGAGGAATCCATTGATGGGGTCACACGTTCGGTTCGAGTCCTATTTAGTGACTCTGGAGCTCAAAACGCGTCTAGGGTTTTGGCCGCCTCCACCGGTTTTCTGGCCCACTGTGCGGCGGGGCGAGATTCGGTGCGGCCGTCGCTTCAAAGCGGCCTTGCTTCTTTATCCGCGGGCCGAGCCGTGCGTTGCTGAGATTACTGTGCAGTCACTGGGGCCGATTCGGCAGCCCCGCAGCCTTCTTTACGGCGCGTGCCGCGGTCCTCGGCGCCCCATGAGCACCGCGCTGCTTACGCCAGCCGAGGTTTCATTCGCGGATGAAAATCGGCAACGGATTGGCATTCACAACATAAGCACAAACAGAAAAGAATAACAAAAAACAACATTAAAATACAAAAAAAGAAGCAACGGTATTTGAAATAAACGAAACGTTTTTGAGTGCATGCATCAGGTCAGGTACTAAATTTATTTCAAATTATTTCTTGTCCAATTCAACAACCAATTTTCGAGAAACGCATTTGACTGCAAAATATATTTTTCCCGCGATGTGGGTCACGCCGCGGAGACAAGCCTGCATTCAATCACGGTCCTCCTTGACCGCCACTTGCGGCTCAAAGTTGCCACCTCGTAATTTTTGCCGCTCGGCGCAGCGGGGCCGCGCGCGTAAACCATACGGATGCAAATCGCGGACGTAAAAGCGAGCCGGGATGGGACATGTCGAGTGCGTCATTAGACAGAGAGAGTTACTACGCCGGAGAGAGAGAAGGAAGGACGCTGACGCCGGTGGGAGAGAGAGGGACGATTTGAATTTTCACAGAGAACATCCGATACATTGAATTATAAAGTCACGCGTCATAGAACGCCGTCGTTCCTTTCCATTTTAATTTTTTTTAAAAATTTCTTTTTTAATTTTGGTTTTAAAATTTAATTAGGTTGAGGCTGACGACTGTAGCCGCACTGTTTGGCACACCACCTCGCTAGGAAATAATGCAAGTCGGGGTACTTGTCAGCTTTCTCCGCCTCTTTGCCGCGTACTTTTCCCTCTCTCGCCCTTTTAAACGTCTTTTTTTTTAGTTGGAAAGGGGAGGGCGGCCCGGTAATGGAATGGGGTTAATATGTGGCGCGGGGGGAGGCGACGCGGCGTTGCCAAGTTTGGCAGTCGACGGGGTTGGTCGGCGCACAATGCCTGGAGCGCGCTGGAGTCCTGGAGGCACAGTGGAGGGGAGTCGAGGGGAAAGAATTCACGCAGCACGACGCGAATCCAGCAGCACCTCGCAGGGCCGCGCCGCTCCACGCCACGCCGGGCCCCGTCCCAGTGTTCCGGCACGCTTTTAAGGCTCAAGGACCCCTTCGGCCCTTTTTTCCAGTGGGCGCACCTCCTCGGCCAGCTCCTTGCGGCCGTCCTCGGGGACCGAGTCGAGGACCCAGGCAATCGCCCCGGTCCGGTGCGATACAAGATTCCCTACGGAAACTAGGGGAAGCGGCCGCCAAAAAAAAAGGCGACGCACACCGGATGCGCGCCAGTTTCGTTTTGCTCACTTTGGTTTTGGCGACCGGTTAGCCGGCCGGCCAGCCTATCACAGCGCACACGTATCGGTGGCGTCGGCCCGACGCACACGGCCAAAAGAAAAAACCCAA